TACCGCAATTGAGCAAAGCCCACTAAGACGAGAAAGATGTTGTCTGTACGGGGATAGGGTCGTCCAACTAATACTAAAGTTAAGTAGCCTAATCTTCATTAAAAGTGGGTGTGGTCACAATGAATTAAAATGGCGGCTATCAGCAAGTCTGGGCTTATTTGCAGCAAATGCTCAGCAAGATTAGACTAAACTGAGTCCAAATACTTCGCTAGCAGTAAGATGGGTCATAAAGCACAACAATAGAGTGGCTCAGGGGCTGAGCCCTTTAATGTTTTACATTCTTCTACTTTGGTTTATCATTACTAGCTTTTGAAAAAGAATAACACATAAAGCTCCAATTTCATAATAATTACTTGTTGATTTGTGCATAAAATAAGACCAAATGAGAGTTTAATTTTAGCTGATAAAAATTGAACAGACATAACAAAGAAAGAACAAAAATACACAAAAAAGACAGAGAGAAATAAAACAGATTAATGAACTATAAGGATTATATGAAGTCAAGGACTGTAGGAGAAGATATGTACATGTACATGTAACCAAACACTCATCTTTATTACAATGGTACATACAACACAATCACACAATGGTACATACAACGGTACTCTCAAACATCACACACATACCACCACATTTACAAAATACAGAAAAACAAAAAAAAGCAAAAATTATTAATCATAAGTACAAGTCAACAACGAGAAATAAAAGGCAGTTATTAGAGTAGGCCACGTTAATGTAAAATGTACTAATTCAATATCAATCATCACAAAGTGTTGTCTGCTACAACATTTCTCTAAAGAATATTGTGTGCCACGACTGGTATCACCTGCATGTGTGTGTTACAGTAACTGTATTAAATGCTAGGTGTGAGAATGGCAGGAGTGTTTTTAAAACTGAAAATAACTAACAATCTTGTACATGTACATGTAGAAGCAGAATCTATAAATGTACATGCATACTTTAATCATTACCAGTTACTACTAACTCACAGTTAATGATGACTTTGCACTGCTAAACGATTAGATGATGAACATTCAAATAACAGGCAAGGAAATTTAGGCAACCTACAGTAGATAAGGGAGGAGCATTAGTGTACATGTTCAAATCAGAGTAGACTCAGAACAACTCATTTCCACCAAAATATGTCGCCATATAATGTGTATGGTAATAACAAATGTAAATTTTAGTTAAAATCGACTGACATGTAGGCTATTTCAAAGTTAACTATGTACATGTACAAGAATATTAAAGATAGGGTAATACTGATAGGATTTTCCAGTATGAGTAGTGACAGCAAATAAATTGATTACTATTAGAAAAGGCTCTAGAATGATCTACCGTATAG